TAAGATCTATGAAAGAGACAAATGGAAGCATTAAAACCGATCAAAGCCATATAGCTATAATCCTTAACAAATTCTTTTCATCTGTTTTTACTCCTTTAAGTTCAAGTCAATCACTGCCACCATTCAAGAAACACACATTTTCTGTGATTGATGAGACTTCGGTCTTGAATAGAAATAATGAGAACTACATACAATCAATACTTTCAAAACTTAACATGCATAAGCCTGCAGGCGTAGGTAGTATTCACCCACATGTTCTCAACAAATGTTCGTCATCTCTGAATGTGCCAATTACTTATATATTTATAAAATCTATTTCTGAAGGTCAAGTCAAAGCGATGTGGCTGGAAGCTATTACACCACTTCACAAAAAAGGATCCAAACTTGATGCATCAAAGTACAGATCCATTTCTTTAACTTCTGTCTTAGATTATGAAAAAGCATTTGACACACCTCCTCATATTCTTATGCTTCACAAACCTTCTGGATATGGTATCTCTTATATGCTTCTTAATTGGATAAATTTTTTTCTTTATAACAGAACACGAGTTGTCATGGGTTCCGCTACTTCAGATTGATTACCAGTCACCAGTAGTGTCCCACATGGATCTGTTCTGGGAACCCTTTTATTTATCTTATACATCAATGACTTTACAGAGCTTATTAGCAATCCAATGAAGTTATATGCCAACGACAACAAAGTTATTTCCACCGACAAAAATCCTTATTGTACGTTTTAACAAAAGTAAAAATCCTAATCACCAATACTATATCTTGACTCAGCAAGGGATGCAGCTTCTCGATTCTTTTTACAACAAAAGAGATCTTGGCATTTATACCTCAAACAACCTCAAATGGGACACTCATATTGAAATAATATCATCTAAAGCCAAGTCTGTTCTCGGTCACCTAAAGAAATCTTTTATCTATAAAAATGCTCTTTTTTGGAAGAGACTATACACATCCCTAGTCAGACCTCACCTCAAGTATGCTGCTCCTGTATGGAATTCACTTTCTGCACGCAACATCAAAAAACTTGAAAAAGTCCAAAACCGCGCCACCAAAGCAATTCTGTCTTTAAGAGCACTATCCAGTAAAGCCAGATTATCATTTCTTCACCTCACCTCACTAAATGAAAGACGCATTCGAGGTGATTTAATCTACAACTATAAATTTAATAATAACTTAAAAAATATTTATTGGCTTAACCCACAAATTGGCAATCCATCTGTCCAAATAACTCGAGGACACTCTCAACGTCTCATCAAAGAGTTCTTTAGTTTTTCAGACCTCATATATATATATATATATGTATATATATATATATATATATCAGGCTTGGTCGGGAAGCAGGAGCGATCGCTCTCGAATACTGACCACGGAAATTATATTTAGTTGCGTAAAACTGGCAGGTTTTTTAGTCGTTTTGAGAACATTTAAGTTTATGTACGAAACAAAAATTTTTGTTTTACGGACATACATGGAAACATAAAAAACTTGAATGTTCTTAAAACATCTTTGTGCGAAAGAATAAAAAGAATATTTGCGAACACTAAAAACCCGAACAAACTAATTCTATTGGTTCAAAAAATACGCTGATTAAGCGAAGTAAAGTTCTAGAGTATTTTGTTAAAATGTTTCAGAAATTGTATTATACACGATTTGTTACGTTTTGAGATTTCTAGCATTGTTTTAAGAATATATATTATTTGTTTACGAAAATAAATGTTTTAAATATATATTGATTAAACAGTTAAAATTTTAAAAGTTTATTATAAATCATAGATTTTATTAGTATATTCTTATTTTAAAAGAGATTGTATTCTTTATGTAAATGTAATTTTGTGTATTTGTTTTGTATCTTTTAAAGCAATTTTTATGATTTAAACAAAGACTTACAAAAATAATTGCGTTTTCAATGAAGTTATAATCGTTAAAGTTAATAAAACTAATTATGTAACAAACATATAAGTAGTTTTTGGTTACTAAACACAAACAACGCATACAAAGTAACTCGCGGATCACGACAGAGCACAAATATATATAGCAAATAAATAGATATAAAGAAAAGTTTCTAGATATTGGTTTACTTACTCTAATTATTTTCGCTTAAGTTGCCATTCTTAAAAATCGTTATACTTTTTTCTGTTTTAAATACTAATTAAAATTAAAAAGCCCACTCACTAAACATCATCAGCGATATTGTGAAGCAGAGTCGCTTCCTCGTCATTAAGTATTTTTAACCTTTTTAGTTGATTTCTATCTTGATTATTTAATTCCTATAGTAATTCAATGATTTAATTATTTCATTTGTTTATCTTACTAAGAAGAATCGCTTCAAATATGTTAAACTTTTCAAACTACGCGAAACATAAAATAGGTATTAAAAAAATTAACTTTTTTATTTATAAAATAATTTAGCTTAAGTAAAACTAAAACTTGCAAACTTAGTTAAATAAAGAATATTTATTTCCCTTTTAAACAATCGTAAGTTGTTACTTTATATAAAAAACATCGCTCATTTTTATTTTTTTTGTAATTGTCTCTCATCGGTCCAATTAATCTTCGTCCCTTTTTTTTTTTTGCTTTTTAAAATGTTCTCAAAACGACTAGCAATCTGGCCAGCTTTTCGCAACTAAATATTATTTACGTGGTCAGCAATCGAGAGCGATCGCTCCCGCTTCCCGACCAAGCCTGATATATATATATATATATATATATATATATATATATATATATATATATATATATATATATATGTATATATATGTATATATTTAATAAGTTTGATTAATAAGGCTGCGTATAAACATTTTATTTGAAATATATTTTAATGTTAATGTATACTTACAATATTTCGCTGACCTATAGCAGTCAGCATTGTCAGGTGGAATAAAAAACATTACAAAAATTGTTACAAAACTTCAAATTTTGATAAAAAAAAAATTGTGTTAATGGGCAAATGCATGTACTAAAAGTTTATAAAATTATTTAAATTTTGAAAAAACATTTAAAATAGTTTTCTTGTTTATGATACGTTACTTTGATTGCTAGCGGGTCATTAAAGCGAAAAGTTTGAAAGCGAAAAGAAAATTTAAAGTGAGTTTTTTCTTTATTCCTTTTATTTTTCTATACTGCCTGGTTTTTATCTTTGTTTTAAAAACACTCCAATAAATTTATTTTTTTATCAATTTAATTCAATAATTAAAATTTAATAATTTGATAATAATTTTATATTATTAATTCTGCTACTTATAATATATTCGAGTTTATATTAAATTTATCCTTGTTAAAACTTTTATCTAATATTAATGATATTAATGAATTAGTGAAAGGAAGAACAGTACTAGTCCAATATTTTTATTTCAAGATAATCGATGTTTAAGTTTTAAACAGTTTATAAACTATTTATCAATCTACTTTATGGCAAAAAATAATGAAAGAAAGATGGACTACTATTATTTTTGTAGTACATAGAGAGATCGACATAAGTTAAATGAAATTATGAAAAAAAGTGAAAATAACAAAAAATGGACTAGTACTGTTCTTCTTCTAACCATTATTGCATATTAATATAATATTAATAGAAACCAGTAATTTTTCTGCTTTAACAGCCATGAACTCATTAATTCTCTTTGTTGACGAAATTGCGTAATGTGCGTAACTTTTACGTAACACCGTAAACTATAATCATTACGTTTTTTGCTTCACTTCTTTAAATTAATTTTCTTTTACCGATGGTAAAAATCCTATTTTCTTAAATAATTGAAGTTCTTGTTTTATTAATATTTTAATATAAAAATTTTATATATTTTTTTATTAATAATATAATAATATATAATAAATTATGTATTTAACTGTGAACAGTTTTTCATTCATCTGCACTTAGTCAATTTTTTATATTTTTCTCTAAATCATTTTGTATTTTTTCTCTTAAGTTTTGCAAATAAATGAATGAATGGTTTATAAATAAATTAAAAATTACTAATTGAGTGCTTGCGCTTTTTTTTATAACAGGATTATTGAAAATATTATATATTATATATTTATTAACACTCTCATTTTATGTAAATTTAATAATTTTTATAGTGTTTCATTAAACAAGTTGTTTAATGTTTTAAAATTTAATTTTTAAAAATTGTTTTATAAAACAAATTGTTTAATACTAAGAAGACCAATGTTAAAAACAATTTAAAATATTAAATATTCAGTTTAAATAGTATCTGGAAACAAAAGTTAGTAACATTATTATTAACTAATTAACATTAGCGGTTTTTGAAATGATTTAAATGAACAAGAGATATAAAATATCCGAAAGTTTTTCTTCTTTAACTTCATTTATTTCATTATTATTCGAAATCTCAACTGTACTTTTTTTTCATTTAATATTTTCTATTATTTATTGCACAGTTTTTCCGACCATTTGTAAAGTCATCGCAATCAAATGAATTACTTTTAAATTAATTAAAAATTATCAATCGCCTGTTTACGCTTTTAAAAAAAGCATTGATTTTATCTAAAATTGTTATTATTTTATCCTTTAAAATTTTATTCTTTACCCTTCAAGCATTAACTTATTTTTGTATTTATAAAGTTTAATCAAAAAGAACTATTTCTAAGATTTAAACAAAGAAAAAAGAAAAATTTTGACCATCCAAACAAAACAGTTGACTGCCAATTCCTTGAGTTGGCCGGTCGAATTGACCGTTCACCTTCAGTTCCTTATTTTGCACGCTGATATAAATATATATAAATATATATATATAAATATATATATATATATATATATATATATATATATATATATATATATATATACATATATATATATATATATATATATATATATATATATATATATATATATATATATATATATATATATATATATATATATATATATATATATATATATATATATATATATATATATGTAATTTCACAATCAAAGTTTATACACCCTTGCAATTGATTTTGACAAACTATAAAAATCTACATACTTCACCTGCACTTGATTTTAACGAAGAACTAATCATGTAGTCACATAATTGAACAACTTTCTAAAAAAAGAAACAAAATTTCAAAATGTGTTAATTTAAATTTTTCTATTAAACAATAAAGAATTTCAAAGAACACTTTAATTACTTTTTAATTTAACTTTTAAAAAAAAATGCTTATATAAATAATTTATTATTTTAAATAAAAGTAAGAAATTGAATAAAGGTTTTTTTGATTTGTTGTGAAAAGGTAAAAATTTTTTTAACAATAATATTGAACACTACTTTTATTTTTATTGATAATTAATTATTTTAATAAGATCATTTATAATAATTTCTTTTTGTAAATTAGCGCTTACACATTTCAAAGTTTTAGAACAACAAAATAACAATTTTTAGCATAAAATCATCACATCACTTACTGAAAGTACGTTGCTAATAGATTCCAAACTTGTGTAGTTATAAGAATACAAAGCCACTTTTTCAACAGCATCTATTAAAATACTTGAAGCTTTTTCTGAGAGTTTATTCTTGGCGATATTTAACAATGCATCAACAAAGGGTTCAAAGTTGCTACTGTTAATACTTATTGAGTTTATCACCTATATGTGTATAAAATAAATACTTATTGAGTTTATCACCTATATGTGTATAAAATAAATACTTATTGAGTTTATCACCTATATGTGTATAAAATAAATACTTATTGAGTTTATCACCTATATGTGTTTAAAATAAATACTTATTGAGTTTATCACCTATATGTGTATAAAATAAATACTTATTGAGTTTATCACCTATATATGTATAAAATAAATACTTATTGAGTTTATCACCTATATGTGTATAAAATAAATACTTATTGAGTTTATCACCTATATGTGTATAAAATAAATACTTATTGAGTTTATCACCTATATGTGTATAAAATAAATACTTATTGAGTTTATCACCTATATGTGTATAAAATAAATACTTATTGAGTTTATCACCTATATGTGTATAAAATAAATACTTATTGAGTTTATCACCTATATGTGTATAAAATAAATACTTATTGAGTTTATCACCTATATGTGTATAAAATAAATACTTATTGAGTTTATCACCTATATGTGTATAAAATAAATACTTATTGAGTTTATCACCTATATGTGTATAAAATAAATACTTATTGAGTTTATCACCTATATGTGTATAAAATAAATACTTATTGAGTTTATCACCTATATGTGTATAAAATAAATACTTATTGAGTTTATCACCTATATGTGTATAAAATAAATGCTTATTGAGTTTATCACCTATATGTGTATAAAATAAATACTTATTGAGTTTATCACCAATATGTGTATAAAATAAATACTTATTGAGTTTATCACCTATATGTGTATAAAATAAATACTTATTGAGTTTATCACCTATATGTGTATAAAATAAATGCTTATTGAGTTTATCACCTATATGTGTATAAAATAAATACTTATTGAGTTTATCACCAATATGTGTATAAAATAAATACTTATTGAGTTTATCACCAATATGTGTATAAAATAAATACTTATTGAGTTTATCACCTATATGTGTATAAAATAAATACTTATTGAGTTTATCACCTATATGTGTATAAAATAAATACTTATTGAGTTTATCACCTATATGTGTATAAAATAAATACTTATTGAGTTTATCACCTATATGTGTATAAAATAAATACTTATTGAGTTTATCACCTATATGTGTATAAAATAAATACTTATTGAGTTTATCACCTATATGTGTATAAAATAAATACTTATTGAGTTTATCACCTATATGTGTATAAAATAAATACTTATTGAGTTTATCACCTATATGTGTATAAAATAAATACTTATTGAGTTTATCACCTATATGTGTATAAAATAAATACTTATTGAGTTTATCACCTATATGTGTATAAAATAAATACTTATTGAGTTTATCACCTATATGTGTATAAAATAAATACTTATTGAGTTTATCACCTATATGTGTATAAAATAAATACTTATTGAGTTTATCTCCTGTGTATAAAATAAATCAGAGGAATACAAAAAGTCAATTTTTGTTTTTGATAAATTTATGAGAAAGTAACGATAAAGTTATTTTACAATTTTATAGGGCCAACTTCAGAAAAAAAAAAAAACCATTAGTTAAATATGGAAAAATAAGGACAAGGACAAAAAGTTAGAAAAAAAAAATTGAAATCAAGTCAAAGCACCACTGTTGGTACTTATCAGTACATCACTGTGGGTGTTGATCAGAACATCACTGTTGGTATTGAAAAGCACATCACTGTTGGTGACAAAAACATCACTGTTGCTGCTGATCAGTAGATACTGATCAGTACATCACTGTTGGTACTAATCATTACATTAGTCTTTAAAAAATATATAAGTATAATACAAAAAAAAAAAAAAAAAGGTAAAATAACCTCAATTTTTGGTTCAATATTTACTTCAGTCTCAACAGTTGTATTCAAGGCAAACATTGTAGCAGTTGTGGTTACATTATACTCGTTTGTGTATACACTAGTTGTAGATGTACCTATATAAGATGATAAGGTTTTATTTATTGGTGTACTAGTTAAGGTTACATTTTTTGATGTAGGAAATATAGTTGAGCTGCTATCAGTCATTTTTACTGTGGTTATATTAACTGTATCCGATGTTGTTGGATTTGTAGGCATAACTCCTGTTTCTGAACTGTTATCTTTATTTATTGGTGTACTAGTTGAGGTTACATTATTTGATGTAGGAAATATAGTTGAGCTACTATCAATCATTTTTACTGTGGTCATATTAGTTGTATCCGATGTTGTTGGATTTGTAGACATAACTCCTGTTTCTGAACTGTTATCTTTATTTATTGGTGTACTAGTTGAGGTTACATTATTTGATGTAGGAAATATAGTTGAGCTACTATCAATCATTTTTACTGTGGTCATATTAGCTGTATCCAATGTTGTTGGATTTGTAGACATAACTCCTGTTTCCGAACTGTTATCTTTATTTATCGGTGTACTAGTTGCATCAGTATAAGTCTCAACAGTTGTATAACTGGTAACTTGTTCAGGTTGTTTCTAAAAGAAAAAAATTTGAATTTATAAAATAACAAAACAGACTTTCATCAAATTTTACTTAATGATCATTATTTATATCATACCATTTTACTTTATTAATACAAAAAAAAATTCATTGGAAAAAATCTAAATTTTAAATTTGGTAAATGCCATACAAAATGCCTCATGTATTTTATATTGTAATTGACACAAATATTGTAAACACATGTGTAAATTTAACTTATAAACTAAACTTATAAACTGTGAATATTAGCATAGTGTAGATATAATAAATATGTTGACTTTTTTAATAAGATGCATTGTGTACTGCCAGTATCCATGCAAATAATAAACACAACATTTTAGAAAGTGCATTACAATATCAACATTTGGACAAAGTTAAATTTCCCTAAGGTATAAATACAAAAAAAGAAAAAATAACCATAAGAAAAAAAAACCATTATAAAATTTTTTTTTTGTTTATGATTGGCTAAAAATAGCTACAAAAAAAAAAAGTGGAATGTTACCTAAAAACTTGCTTAAAAACACTGCTATAGCAACTTGTTTAAATACTATTGCTAACAGCCTGTAGATATATAGTAACTTTTTTGTTTTGTTCTACAACAGCTTGTAAAAAAAATTAGGCCTAAATAACTGATAAAAAATATTATTTTTCAATAAACCATGTCAAAAAAACCATGTTAAACATGCCTTTGATACCAATTAACTTAATTTAAATAAAAAGATGTGTACAAAATTATAAAAATATGTGTATAAAATTAAATAAAAAGACAACTTGTTTTTCCACATAGCAACCTTTTTTGTCAAGATTTTGGAGTTGAGGATTTTCATACAACTTTTATAGTTTTACATAAATTGCTATTATAAACAATTTTAAAGTTGTTAACATGTTTTTAGTAACACTCTTAATTAAAATAACATTTGTTGGCATTGCAAAGTTATTGCAAACTCACTTACCACATAAGATGAAATTGATTGCATTGTTGTGACGGTTACATTGGCAATAACTATTTCAGTTGTGAAAGTAACATACTTATCATTGCCTTTAGAAAAATGATCTTCATTCTGAAAAGTATAATGAAAGTTATAAAAAGTTTAATTTTATAAATTCAGCAAATTCAAAGAAATTTTTTACTTTCCTTATTGAACAACAGGGACTAAAAACCTTGACACCTTTTTGTTTTTGTAATGTCAGAACTCATTCTACCATAATTTTAATTTGTATTTATTAAACGGTTTTTACGTTGTGAACTATACACAATTGCTGATGATTCCCAAAGGCATGAAACTCAGAGATCAGAGATCCAAAAGTTGTTTTTATTCATTTTATATAAACAAATATTGCCCTATTATTTAACAATATTGAGCACTCTAAAATGCACAATCATTATTATACCATAATACATTATTTTTTGTGCATGGAAACCCGGAACTGCTGATAGAGTATGCTCCAATCATTTTGTTGATAAAATACCAAATGTTATGAACCCAACAATAAATGTGGATTTTGATCAATCTGAACAAAAAAAAGCTTTATTAAAGCACCCAATCACTTCTTTATCATGTTCTAGTAAAAAGCAACCTGTAGAACGTTTGACTGAAAAAAGTATTTTTACAGAGTTTCCAAGTGTTAGTTTTAATGCAAATGTTTTATCACCTATATTATCAGACCATACATATTCATTGATTTTACGACTACCTAATAAATGTACTTCATGTAAATACAAATTTTCACTTATCACCTCTTATGTTAATAAAGTAAATAGCCTTATTAATCAATTAAAAAAATTGAAAATAAAACAAGACTAAACAAAAATTTTCTTGGAGATTAGTTAACAATGATTAAAAAAATGAACTTTTATACTGGTATATCCTCCATTGGTATTTTAAACGTTGTTTTTGGTTTGTTAAAACCATTTTTACCCTCCATTCGAAATTAGAGAAGCTTAAAACATTCACGTAGCAAAGCTAAACAAGTAAAATCTATATCTAAATATAGACGGTTATCACAAAGAGAATTTATAATGATGCTTATGAGGTTGCGCTTAAGTTTATTAAACGAGGATATTGCTGATCGTTTTAGTATTTCAAAATCTGTGTGTTCTGATACTTTTACTACTTTTATTAGAAAAATTGCTAACATTCTCGGACAAGCTATTATTGTTTGGCTGCCAAATGAAGTCATAAAAAAAAACATGCCAGAGTCCTTTGTGAAAGCAAAATATCCCAAGTGCAGAGTGATTCTTTATTGTTTTGAAGTATTTATTGAACGTCAAAAGTCCCTTTACAACTGAGCAGTGGCTTGGTCTGATTATAAGCACCACAACTGTCAAAGTATAAATTGGTTTAGCACCGAATGTATACATAACTTTTCTATCTAAATGTTACAGTGGCATGAGCATCAGATAAATTTATTACAAGTTTTTATGATCTGATTGAAAGGAACGGTGAAGTGAACGGTGAAGTGATGGCAGACAGAGGATTTTAAATAAGAGAAGAACTATTATTTCTTTATTGCAGTCATAGAAAATGGACATTTTATTTCTAAACAAGCTGGCAGGCAACATGAACATCGAACAATTCTATCGGGGCATCCATCTGTATAGATCATTTTGTCACCTAAAAATTCATTTACAGTTAAATTTTGATGAAAAGATTTTATAACTTCTATTTCCATTGCTCTCCCATACTTCAATACAGGTATATCTGGGTTCACAAAAGTTAGCCCTGAATTTAAATACTCAGTAAGGTGGCTCAAACTGGTGTATTGCTGATTCAGTTTTTGCCTTCTCTTTTAATGTTAACTCATCATATAGCAAAGCTAGAGATATCATTGTTGAATCCAAATACCAACAATGCTTGTACTGAGACCCTAATACATCATCAACAGCTATTGGATTGTATATACATTCTTGTACAGATGCATTTGATGTTTGGTTGTAATGTCAAAAAACTTTGATGACATCCTCAGATTGTAGATATCACTTTGCAAAAAAGCAAATCAATAAATTCTGTTATAAGCCTAATTTCAGTTTTCAGTTTATAATTTTCCTGAAAAAACGCAATGCGATTGAATAAAAGTTGAAGTTTTAGAAAATAAATTGATTTTCCTAAAAATCTTGCATGATAAATAGCACCAGTTTTTCTTACTTTACATGTAATAGGGGATAAATAAATGACAAATAATTAGGCAAGGTTAAGTCTATCATCTCTTATAATACCTGGTTTACCAACATAAGCTCTGAATAATGTTAATGACTTATTAGCTGTCTTTTATAAAAGACTGCTTTTAACCTTATTCCAACCAAATCATAACAGTTGAACTGGATTATAATTAAAATTAGGCTCTCCAAAAATATTTTTTAGCTTTTTAAAAAGCGGATTATCAGGTAAATCAGGTAAAATCCTCATTGATCACTAATTTCTAAAAGTGAAGCATTTCTAATTCTATTTAGAGAAGATATTTATACCATTCCTTAGATATTCTGGAAACTGGTCCTTTATTTGTCCCAGTATTCGATGACATTGTATCAAAGCATATTCCTCTAGTTTTTGACCTAATTTGATACTCCTTAATTTAATTTATTGCACCTAAGAACTGATCTTCACCAGTATATGACACTAGCAGAGGTACTCCAAGTAGGTAGGCCTCTCTATTAATATTATCTAAAACAGCCATTCTATCCCTCTCTAACATTTTTCATTTGTTTAGCTCAAAAAAGGTTCTTGCCATCAAAATGAATTATACATGGTTATGGAGATGTATCAATAGCTTCCTAAAAACATCTTTTGTAATTTTTGACATGTTTTCATTTTTTTTTTTTTTCTATAAGCAGTAGACTGACTGCTTTTAACTACTTTAAGATCAACACTTGATTAGTATAGAATTGCATTTGTTACCTTCTTTAAAATATTTGGAAATATATCACAGGCTGTAGCAGTAAATGAAACATTACTAGCATAAATATCTTTTAGAATATTTGCGAATTATTGTATCTGGGTTTTCAGAGACTAATATATGATACCAACCACTTGGATCAAAATCAGATTCAATTAAATAATCCTCATTTAGAATTGTGTTTATAAGTGTGTACATCAGTTTATAAGTACATCATCACTCAAACTCTTAGGCTGTGAACAATTTTTCTTCCTAATGCTTTCTTTTGCTTAATTTACATAGAAATTGTAGTTTTAGTTTTTAATTTTAGAATAAGTGAATAGAGAATAAATTAGCAGAAGTAAAACCAGAGCTAAATTATTTAACTAAAAGACTCCCTTTTTTCTATACTTAATATCCTCTGAATTAATAACAATTTTTTTTTCACTTTCTTAATCTTCCAGAAATTTTAAATCTTCAATCTTGTCTTTTAGTAATCTTTTTTTTTATCTTTACTGATTATGTTTATGAGATTAGAATTACCATCCCACAAAAGTTTTTTTATCTTTACTTATCATGTTTTTGAGATTAGAATTACCGTCACACAAAAGTTTTTTTATCTTTACTGATCATGTTTTTGAGATTAGAATTACCATTCCACAAAAGTTTTTAATTACCATCCCACAAAAGTAAAAAGAGAGAGAGAGAAAGAGAGAAAGAGAGAAAGAGAGAGAGAGAGATGTATGTTTTGAAAAAAAACAATTTTTACATTATCTTTTGCAATTTGCAATCCCCAGATAAATTGTAAGCATTTGCTGACATTTTTATTGCTTGTTTAATCCCAAGTAGTTTTTCAGAAAAAGAAGAATAAAACAAAGAATAATGAAATTTTACTACTAAATGGCCAGTAGTTTATTTGGCTTTGCTTTCATAAAGCATAATTTAAAGTTTATTTTCACAACAATACAAGCAAAATTTAGTTTGAAAGTTTGAAAAAAGCATTTACTGACTTTTTTTTGAAAATTGCATTTACTATGTATTTGGTAAAATTACTAGAGCTGTGACCTTATCACCTATATCTAACTAATTTTATTTTTCATATATATTTTAATTTTATTTTTCATATACATTTAATTTTATTTTTCATATACATTTTAATTTTATTTTTCATATACATTTAATTTAGTTTCCACTTTTCTTGCATGTGTAACAAAGTTATGTAGTACAAAGATTAGTTTTTGTGAAAAAAACTTTTTGAAAAAAAAAAAAAAAAATCATCGTGAATTTTTATCATTAATCTCAAGAATGATTAGTCAAAATCAGGTTTTCTCCATGACAACATTTCTCCATGACAACATTTCTCCATAACAAATTTTCATATATTTACACAGCAAGAAACTTCATTGGTGGATCCAGAATCATTGCAATTTTTTGCAAAGCATCTTTATTTAGCATAAAGATAAACATATAAATGTTTGAAGTTTGTTTTGTGTCTGGAAATTAGACATCTTAAAGACCAAAAAGTGCTAGATCCGCCCCTAGACTAATTTTTAAAATAATTAGACAAAACAGGGCTTTTAGTACATAAGTGACTATCTTATAGCCTGCTGCAAAGGGGTGCTGCCTTATCAATTTAGGGTTTGGGCTAGGGCAGCAACCTTTTCTTTCATTATTTTATTTTTTTTTTCTTTTTCTGAAATCTATATCTCCATTAAACTCTTTTAAGTTATTTTTTGTTCCCCAATTTTGAGAAGATTTTCTCTACAATGATTCCCTAATTTCAAGATTATTCAAATCATAGATATCAAGATAAATTATTGTTGCAATTTCGAGATGCTACCCCTTCTGATAAGTACTCAATTGCTCTATAACTTTTTTTAGAATACCGGTATTATTGGGCTTTCTTCATGTAAAACACAAATTTGAATATCTAAAACTTTTAGGTGCAATAAACAACGTTCATTAGACTTGTAATGAGAATATAAAATCATGCTTGCAAGAAAAGTGGAAACTAAATTAAATGTATATGAAAAATAAAATTAAAATGTATATGAAAAATAAAATTAAATGTATATGAAAAATAAAATGCTCAAGAGTTTGGAAAGGAGGAAATAATAAGTTGTTTAATAAATTTATTTTTTTTTTTACAATTTTTTTTTTTATTATCACAATGAGAATAATAAAAAAAATAATAAAAATAATAATAATAATTTTGAAAATATATGAGTTTCTGTGCCTTATTTTTTTTTTTAATGCCCAGCAATGATTTAAAAGACAGCATTATGTCACTCGCTTTAACATAGAACATGTGTTTAACATAGAACAAGAGAAAAAAATCAATACCGGCATTAAACCGGTAATGAAATGATTCAGTACCTAAATACCTAAATAAATAAAAATACCAGTATTGAAAAATGAATTCGATATTAGATGCACTAGGTAGAAGCTAAAGCCCAATTTACATTATAAACATCAGGCCTAATTATTCCAGCATTCCTCTTACATAACCATAAAATTCCAGTACAGAATTTTAATTAAAATAGGTAAAGTTCTTTTTCTAATGAAACTGGGTAAAGTTAAAAATCATTATGATGTGTTGACATAAAAATGGTGCACTTGATACAAACCAAAACAAAGTTGTAGTAAAAAGACCTTGCAACGAAAAATAAAGATAAAAAAGTTTTTAAAAGATATTAATTTTTATGAATTTGTTCAATTATTTTTTTAACTTACTGTTAAACTTGAGGACAGTAGTGATGCTCTTGGAGTATCCGAATTTGATAAGGAAGATGTTTGTGTTGATCTTGAGGTTGATGGTGAATTTTTAGTAGATGCAATAAAAGAATCAAGAGATTCGAAAACTGAAAAAAAATTAGTATTAGTTATACATATAAACTAAATATATAAAAATGTAACTTTATACATAAAATATATACAACTATATTTATACAAATTTTCATTTACAAGACTTTCAAGAAACTAAAAACAAGCACAAGAAGGAAGAAGGGAGAACTTTTAATGTCCTCTAAAAAAAGTAAAGATACAGATTAAAAATATATATATATATATATATATATATATATATATATATATATATATATATATATATATATATATATATATATATATATATATATATATATATATATGTATATATATATATATATATATATATATATATATATATATATATATATATATATATATATATATATATATAATATATATATATATATATATATATATATATATATATATATATATATATATATATATATATGTATATACAACTTCAAATATTTGAAGCAGAAAGAGAAAATACAGAACTTGTATTTATTTTAAAGGAGTACCATTTACCTCTAAAAGGTAAGCACTCCTTAACCATTGTAAAGTAGCCTATCTAGAAGAAGGAATACTCTGAAAATCTTGAAAGGAGAAAGATTTTGAAAATTTAAATTTGGGTAAGAGTATGAAAAAATATTAAATCTTGAGTATTGATCTTTTTTCACCATGTGGAACGTACAATCAACATTATCTAACATGACCAAAAAAATATTTTTTTAGAAGTAGTACCCTTACGGAAATATTCCATGGAAAACCCATGGAATTCCATGAGTAATTCCATGGTTTTCCCATGGAAAACGGAAATTCCATGGAATTTCCATGGGTGAATTTTGAAAATTGAAATCCCATGGAATCCCATGAAATCCCATGAAAATTGAAATCCCATGGAATTTCCATTTGTGAACCATGGTTTGTTTTTCATAGCTTATGCTGCACCATGGTTGTTACGATTGCGCTTTTAAAGATGGCGTCATAGCTCGTAGAGTTACAATTACTTTTAACTTGAGTAAACAATACTTACTGCATTCTTCTGTGTTTTAATAAGACTGAACTTTTAATAAGTTTTTCTGTGTTTAATAAGACTGAATTATATGTTTTTTATAATGCTTCACATTTATATGATTCAAACTAAACATACAGACATAAACAACTAGATATATTTATATTATAATGCATTATAAAATGGATTATTTTTAATTATATTCAATTATATATCATTTATGCATATACTTATTTTAACTGTTTCCAGTAGCTTTTATTACTTTGCATAGCTTGCAATAGTATAGCAAGTACGTCAAGTAAACCAGTTTGAATTTTAATGCTTACTTGGCAAATTATTTGCCAAATAATTATTATTTGGTTTACAACAAATAAACGTTTAGTTTTAATGTACGTTTTTTAGTTTTAATGTACATTAAATAACTAGTGTATTAATACACTAGTTATTTAATGTACATTAAAACTAAAATAATTATTATTATAAAACTTATCTAACATATTAAACAAACTTATCTAATATATTAATATATAAGCAGTATATCAGATAAAATTAGATAACTAAGATAAGATAAGATAATAAGATTAGATAACTAATGTACAAAAGATAACTTGTACGATCTTGAATGCTTGAAGTTTATTGTATGGTAAATGTTCATTAAGTATTAAAAAACGTTTTTTTATGATAAATGTTCTATTCAATTTTAGTTCTGTTAAGTTGTTTTTGTCTTTTTGTTGTTGTTTTTTCTTTAGAATTATTAGAATATGTAAATAATGTAATATAAATATTGTTTATAAATTCTTTCATATTTACTTTACTATTTTATTTAAATTACTACATTGTAAGTCGACAAGTTTGACTGGCAATATAAATAATGTTGTTCATCGTTTATATTTTTTATAACATCGTCAGTTTTTATATGCATTTAATATTATTAATAATATTTCAAAAGCTGTTAAAATAAAATGGTGAATTGATTTTAAATTAACCAGAAAAGATATAAGCGTAATCTTTGGATTATGTTAATATCTTTTCTGGTTAATTTAAAATCAATTCACTTTACATTACTATACTTTATAAATTGCATATTTATTATATTTGTCATGTTTTAAATAGTAAAGTAAAAATATAATAAATTTTTGAATTTAATGGTGTTTGCATAAGTTCTTTTATTTTAACTTAAAAAGGTAAAATTGATATATGTGTATAAATCTTTTCATTTTAACCTTATCATTTCATTTAAACTACTACATTATTAGCAGGCAGGTTTGACTGGCAATATAAATTTTTAATTTATTTATTTAGCCAATCATTAACAAGTCCCGTGCTTTATAATATATATAAGGATGGTAAGGACGCGAAGAAAACAGGTTTGTAAATGATGTTGTACATCATGCAGATAGCTCAGAAGAAGAAGTAAGTTTTTTTTTAATTACAAAAATAAATAAGTAATATAATATTTGTTGCTGCCTTGTTCTATATAAATGTTTCTAACATGCAGGTAACATTTATATATTTATTAGTTTGAATAAATCATTTTAATTAAGTTACATTATAGGCAGGAATGTTTGACTGGAAATATAAACGATGTTGTACATAATGCAGATAGCTTAGGCAAAATAATCTAGTAATTGTTAATAAGGTAATAATCTAGTAATTGTTATTTATAAATAATGATATATTCATTGCTACTTTTTTCATTCACAATTGTGTATAATGCCTAATTATAAAGTAAGTTATAATAAATAATAATTATAAGTAAAATGAATTAGTAAATAAAGAAAACTAGTTAGCATATATATAATAGTTGTATGGTGTATTGTCTAGATTGGTGAAATGGAGAATGAGACTAACTACAGTGAAAAAAATAATGAATATCAAAATGTGAATGGTACTTTGTTTGACATCTACCTGTTTCTACAGATACAGTGCAGTCACACTTATAAATGGGCTTGATGTTTTTTTGGATTGAATATGTTGTATTGATGGTTCTTTTTAACTTGTTAAAACTTGAAGTTATTATCAAATTTATATATATCAAATAGTTTATATAGTTATATATTTATCAAATAGTTAGTATAAAATAATAAACATGTAAATTGTTTTATTTTCTGTTAAAATTGTTTTCTTGATATATTTCAATTATCTATCACTATGTATATCGCTTATAGTATTATATTACTCGTGATTATTTGTTTTATTTATTTTCAGTATGTTATACATATGCATGCGTTAAATATTGTGGAAAAGTCAAGTTTTGATGTTTTAGGTGCATTATAGCTATTATTTTTCAAAGATTTGTAGGATATAACAAGATTTAAATTTTATTTTGTTTATTGATTTTATTCGGAGAAAGCGATCCCATAGATTAAGAGAACTCAATAATATTAGTGTGACAAAATTTGCTTTTATGATTTAATATCAGAATTCAAATAACATTAGATCAAAAAAACTTGAAAACAAATCATGCTTTTTTACCATGACAAATCCATGAGTTTTCCTTGGAAAGGTGTTCCTAATACCTATGGAAATTCCATGGTTTTTCCATGGATGGAAAATTATTGAATATCCATGGTATTTAGAACACTTTTCCATGGAAAACTCATAGATTTTTCATGGACAACTCACGGATTTCCCATGAAAACTCATGGGTTTTCCATTAAAAACTCATTGGTTTCCCATAGGAAACTCATGGATTTCCCATGGAAAACTCATGCGTTTTTATTGAAAACTCTTGGGTTTCCCATATGAAACTTATGGATTACCCATGGAAAACTCATGGGATTCCCATGAAAGCGTGTTCCAAATAACCATGGTTTTTCCATGGGTTTTTTTCATGGGTTTTTTCATAGAAATTTTCCGTAAGGGTATATACATTATAAGAGTACAATAACAATCATTTTTTTATACCCTTTAATTTTTTTAAAGTCTTGGGCCTGGTATCTTCAATAGAATGAACACTGCTACAAATTACATTGTACTTTTTAACAGAATTTTTTTTCTAAAGTGTCCTATGGCAACTCAGAATCCTTCTAATGACCTAGTAGCTTTTAAGCCTTCCAGCTCTAAATGTCACAGGACTTTAAAATCCAAGTTGAGATTGGGAGAAT